ATAGTATTAGTGATTTTTTGTTTTTGTGGTTGTTTTGAATACTGTTTTTTTTTTTTTTAAAGTATAAATTAAATGTATATTTTTGAATGAATTTGATAGAATAAATTGAAAGAAATTTGTATGAAAGTTTGTTCAGTAATCTATTTAAAAAGTTATTTAGAATTTTGACGAATTGTATGAAAAGTGATTTAAGTTGATAATGAATTTGATAGAATAAATGAATTGAAATTTATATGAAAGTGTGTTCAATAATCTGTAAAAAAAAAGTTATTTGGAAGTTTGACGAACTATATGACAAGTGTTTTAAGTTGGTATTAAATTTGTAATTTTAGTGTTTATATTAGTTTTGTCATTTCTGTATAAAGTTGTTTGATAGTAATGAAGTATTTGGTACGAGCGAAATATATATATATTTAGAATGAATGATTATTGTTATATGAAATGTGTATTGAGTATGAAATGTGTATTAAGTGAGTTTGAAATGCATATTTAGTGAGTATGAAAAGTGTTTTGTAATGATATTTGTATAAAGACAAGTGGGTATAATTTTATTGTTATTATAATGATTTTTATATATGAACCTATCCCTTGCGAGAGTACAAAGAGAACGGTAGGAAGACGATAACTTGAACGCTGGAAGGGGTTTGCTGAGTGAAATTCAAAAGGTCTAAAGTTACCTGCAGTAGATGTCGTCAAGTTGGCCACAACAGGAAGACATGTTCAAATTATCCTGTGCAAAACTAATGACTATTTTTTATATTAATGTTTTGTTTTGATATGAAACATAATTGGTTTGAAGTGCATTATAGCTTAGTGTTTAATATACTGTTCATTCAGTAATCATACATAATGCATACTATTACAAATTAAATTTATTCTAGTTTAAAGATATTGTATATATTAGTGATAATTATAAGAAGGTAATTATGGAGTTCATTTGGTATCCCGAGTATTTAATGTAAGTTATCATGAATATTAATTTGGTTTCCAACTGGTGTCATATTATAAATAAAATTATAACAAACTGCATGCCAATTGTATTCATGTTTCATTCCAACTCTAGCTTAAGTTATGGTCATATACATATTAATCAAATTTAATTCAGTTTTCATTCAAACAACATGTGTAGAATAGAAAATAATCAAATGTGAAAACACAATTCATAACATTTGTATATAAAAATCGTATCACGATTCATACAATATCCAAGATTTAATATTAAAGTCATAGTCATATTCATATAAATTAGATTTCATACACGTTTCATCCAATGAGTGTACAACTTAGAAACACAATGATACTTTAAAATAATGTATCTGAAATGTACGAAGTCTGTATAATACTGGTTACACTACGTATATAAAAGATTGAAAGTTTCGAAGATCTCACCTGAAAGAGCAGTCACTCGCTCTAGGTCGACCCCGTTGAAAAAATTTCTCGCCTCCTTTTCTTTCTTCTTTCTTTTGCAGATTATTTACTACTTTAACTATTTATAGTCTAATTATAAAAGTGTAAAAATGACCCACTATTAATTTTAATGCTATCTTCTATAACCACCAACTAAGTATATTATTAATACTACCCCATTAATTTCATAATTGTAGTTATGAATAGTCCAAAATATCCATTTAGAATCTATCGAAAAGTATTTTTTGAAATAAAAAGCTCTAGTACTCAAAACAACCAAATGGGTCGTTACAATGTGACAATTGTAGAAAAAATCACTAGTTTGACAATTGATAGCATTTTCATACCAATTTAATCATTCATACCATATGAAGATTCAAAAGAAAATCAGACAAATGTGAAAATACAATTCATAACATTTGTATATAAAAATCATATCACGATTCATACAATACCCAACCCCTTATATTAAAATCATAGTCATATACGTATAAATCAATTTTCATAAACGTTTCATCCAATGAGTTTACTACTTAGAAACACAATGATACTTTAAAATAGTGAATCAATTTGTATGAAGTTTGTATAATACCAGTGTTCTGAAATTATAATAGCAAAATATTAATTCATGTGTAGATGGTATCTGAATAGAAGATAACATATGGTATTATATATCATCAAATACTTAAACAGAAAAAAATTATCCAAAAGTTAAAAAAAATATTATGTAATTCTTAAAAAGTAGAAGCTGCAATGAACTATTTCAAATTTCTTGTCGGTGGTCTTGGTGTAGGATAATTGGTGGTATCCGGAACATGTTCTTTTGCTATACGAGGTCCACCAAATTTGCTAGCAACCGTACCAGTAGTGATCGCGTCATCCTCATTCTTTGTTTTTCCATAATGCCACATGATTGTGGCATACCTTTCACGATGGTACTTTGCATCGATTTCAACAGTTCTCATGTCAAAAACACCATTGCTGATAATTCATATGTTTATACACAATTAAGATACAATAACATTAATGTTAATACATAATTCATACCATTTTATAGTCAAATCCATAAACATTTTTTTCATAATTCATACAAAATACATCACCCAAATTTTATAGTCAAATTCATAAACATTTTTTTTCAGATTTGAAACAAATTTCACACAAACAACTGTTTTGAAAACAATAATAAGAATAATGTGATATAAAAAAAATAACTATTTTGAGTAATGTGAAAATAAATTAAATAAAGTACTTACCCTTACAACTTTTTTGGGGTTTTTGTATTTTGGTAATTCCGATTCCTTCTTCTTTGTTTTTCTTCTTGTAGATGGTTTTGATGTTTGAGCAACTTCAACATTTGTTGATTTTTTTCTTTTTTTCTTTTTTGTTTGACTAACAAAATCCAAATCGGAATCGGAATCAGAATCAGGAAGGGTTTCAACAAGTGTTTTCCCCTTCCTCTTCTTCCCCTTTTGATTTGCCGGAATCACACTTTCCTTTGCTTCATTATTTTTATCTTTTTTATTCTTCGATCGAGAGGAACCACCGGTCGCCGGAATTTCAATAGTTTTAGGCGGGGGTGTTTGGGATAATATATTGAACGATGGAACATGAACATCATCAATTGAAGTTCCATCAAATCTGGGACTCTTTTGAGGAGTTTCAATGGGTTTCTTAAACATGATGATGAATAATCGTGGGGGAGGGGGGTAGACTATTTTGAAGTTAGACTTGATCAGAAACAATGATGAAAGTGGATTGTGGCGTCTAGGAGTGAATAAGCGTGGGGGAGGGGGGTGGGATTGACGAATGGGGATGATAACGGTAAACAGGGAAAGAAAACGTGTATGGAGGAAATCCCTAAAATTGGGTAACTAAAAATTTTAGTTCAAAAAAAGGAAGTGAAATCAAATTAATTACCTATTATTAATTAATAATAAAAACCTTTAAATAGATTAATAATTTATTAAATAAATATAATTTGATTTTTAAATAAAATTAAATTTAATTGATATGTCATAACCCGTAAATAATCTGTTATAAGCAAAAAAAAAATTTAAAAGTAGATTTAAAACCCGTAATATTTACTCTTAAATGTGTATATGGAGTGATTTTTCCTTTCTAACTTGTAAATCTTAGAACTCCATGGTAACATAATAAAGGATAAAATAGAAAATAGTTTCTTGGTTCATTTGTATTTTTCTAATTTTATAGGCCACCTAAGTGATTTTATCTGTTCATACTAGTAATTGTAGTATTATTTTTATAGTTTCTTGCTCTTCGAATTCTGTTACTATTTATTATTTCGTGTAGTTCGATTATAGTATTAGCTCATTGTAGTATTGTTTTGCTACTATATGTTGTTTCATACTTTCATTACTTTTTTTCTAGACTGGTTTTGTATTGAGCCGAGGGTCTATCGGAAATAGTATCTCTATCTCCGAGCTAGAAGTAAAATTTGCGTACACTCTACCCTTCACGTACTTCACTTTGTGTGGGACTACACATGGTACGTTGTTGTTGTTATTGTTATGTCCTTTTGTTGCAGTACCAAATGATTGAGTCTCTTTCGGAGAGAACCGTATTTTGTAGGTCTTCCCTTTTTGGTATATCTCATGTATACGGCTTGTATCAATGACAAACCTTGGTTGATCAAAAGGTTGCCTCTTGGTGCAATGATTAGTTTGCTTTAAATCATAAATTGTTGTGAATAGCCTACGCGCCTTTGCGTTTGTATATAATGTTCTCTTACGGGGAAAATAATCTTTGTTATGGTATATAGAAGTTATAAAATGGCCCTCCTAAAGTAGATATATTGTTTATTTATCATTTTTTTTTTCCCCATAAGTGTTAGTTTACCTTAGTGTTCTATGTAGAAACACAATTGGCTTGGATCGATACATTTCAGACTGGACAACTCAGGTGGTGGTTGCCCGCTTCTAAATTAGAACTCAATTCAAATGATGTTAACTTAATATTGAACGTAGAAATTGTCATTCTGAATTTGGTGTAACGTATGCAAGAAGTGATTCATTTTCAAAAAATATTTTCCTCCCTACCAAACACATCCTAGCTATATCAACGAGCTAAGGCATGCATGTTTAGTCAGAGTTCTAGTCTATACTAATGTTTATCAGGGTGCTTTACTAGCTTAGTTCTCTCAATTCACTCTTTTATTATATAAATTTCATTTAAAAAATTGAAGATTTCATGTCCGGTTCACGCTCAAACTGAAACTATTTGATTTTCAAAATCTGAATTATGTCATCGTGAGAGTATATTTTATGTATATATATATATATATATAATAAATATTGATTTTTAAAAAAAAATCCTTGCATTAGTTCTTCGTATTTAACTCTGTAGTGAAAATCATACCTATTTTGAAAAAGTCGGATTTCAAAATAGAAAAAGAAAAAAATTTCCAAACGCGGTGCTATTCCATTCTTTGGTCGTTAAAGTTGGGTCAAATGTTGCGTCTACTCAGCCAATCAGCTGCCACTCTGAACTCACTTTAACCAATTAAAACTCTCCACGTGTAATCAAAGACGTAGCAGACATCCCACGCGCCATATATAAATCTCCACGCAACAACTAAATCGCCGGTTAAAAAAAGAGAAAACCGCGAAAATATCACCGGCTTCAATTTTTCTCTCTTTCGCCGGCGGCGGCTTTTGATCGTCTGAAAATTTGCCTTTGAAGTCCACGTGTCTACCGGGATCTGACTTTTCCAACGATATTTCCACATGGAAGCTCACGGTGCTGGTCTCCGCCGTGTCCTTGTCCTCGCCTTCTGTGTCGCCGGAATCTGGTCCGCTTATATTTATCAAGGCGTTCTACAAGAGACTGTGTATGTCATTTCTTCTCTCCTTCCTCATTTCATAAATGTTTTTTTTTTAAGCTTCGTTTACTTATATGATTTATGATTTGTTCTGTATTTTTTTATTTTAAAAATAAATGTATGATGTTTTGTGCTAGTTATGTATTATCCTATGATTAAATTGATGTTTAGTTCTCTGGCAATTGATTGAATTTGTGAAACCTGCTTTTGCCAAATGTTAATAATATCCAGTGGTGGAACCAAAAAATTTACTCAGATTGTTGCAACATTTAGCTAAACAGTGTTATTTTTCGGTGATCTGCCGTTGTTAGTACCATTGGTGAATTTCAACTTTGAGCTCAAGCAATGTTACTCAATGACTATTGATAACAATTACTAGAGGTTTTGTTTTCTTTTATACTCTAGAAGGTTCAATTTTGAGTACAATGTGCTTGCATTGTGTGAGTTTGATGCAATTTTTTGGTGTTTTCTTGTTAACTTAGTTGTGGAATTCATTTCTATTCATATATTCCTTTATTTATTTGGTTAATTTTAACATGTTTATGTATGGGTTTTAGGTCAACGAAGCGGTTTGGTCCTAACAATGAGAGGTTTGAACACTTGGCATTCCTAAATCTGGCGCAAAATGTAGTTTGTTTGGTATGGTCATTTATAAGTAAGTATACAGCATGTTCGTCGACTCTGTTATAATGTGTGCACGAGTAACAATGTGGTTAAGTATTGAGTGTGGTTTTTGTTGCAGTGCTTAAGATTTGGTCTAATGGGAAGAGTGGTGGTGCTCCTTGGTGGAGTTATTGGAGTGCTGGTATTACAAATACTATTGGTCCTGCAATGGGGATTGAAGCACTAAAATACATCAGCTATCCTGCACAGGCATGCCCTATTCTTGATTGTTTCTATATCTGATTTCTGCTCTACTTTTTTCCTTGTATGTTCCCAGTGAAGGGCTTAATCCCTTCAAATTTCTGGATTTGTGGCTTCTTGTGAAATGTGAACCATAGTACTAGCTAGCATTTAGGATTTCCTGAAGTAACTTTTAGGAGAGAAATGCATGAGGTTTTATTAATGTTCTAATTCATAGTAGTGGCTGATTAACTGATATTTAAATGAGACCTTGATGGTTGTTTCCTTTTCTTTCCTGAATACATAATAACAAGGCTACTTACTCTTGCAGGTCCTGGCAAAATCATCAAAAATGATTCCTGGTATGTCCGCAAGCAAGCATTTTTTTACACTTACATTGATGTTCTTTTCTTTGAGTATGCTTTTGTGGATATTGTTAATACTGAGATTTATGGAAAGATAAAAAGGTGGATAGAAGATGTCTTGATATGAATTCTATTTATTGAAAAAACCATGTTCTAGGGTTTCTAGAGTTTCAAAAATTAAAAAACGAAATGTTAATATTATTGAATTTCTGAATCGTAAGGCCATGACCTTAGAAAGTAGATCCAGTGAACATGGTGGCGTTTCAATTGTTCTACGTCTCTGGTATTCAGATTCTGTGCCCTTATAGTTTTGTACTTGAGCAGGTGTTATCATGTTATGTCCTATACTTAGAGAGGGAACTAACTCTTAACGAGAGGGTGAATATAAAAAAACATTTCAGAATAGAGTATATGTGATTAGTGGGTCAAAGCTGAACATATAGAATGACATAACGGAATGCAACAATCTTGAATACTGGATTTGCTAGAAGTGATATTTAGATATTTATACTCGATTGTGAGGCATATAAGATATAAGGGCAAAGAGAAGAGTGGTATTGGTGTGTCTAGCATCTCTATGATGTAGTCAGAACAAATTTTCCGTGAAAAGGGCTTTTACTGAAACAAAGAGGAAAGCACACATGGCAGAATATAGATTGAAACAAAATGTGATGGAAACCATTACTTAAAAGAACCAGCCTTGAATACATTATATGTCCAAAAGAAAGGAAAAGAAAAAAGAGAAGCATTTCAATCTTTTGATGGTCTAATAACACATCCTTGAATACATTACATGGACTTGTATGAGAAGTTATGAAAACTGCACACAAGCTGAAGGCTTAATTCTGTCCTAAGTAATTACATACTTTGGCCAAATAAGAATACTTGACATGGTCCCAAGTGTTGTATCAACCATTGCAACAGTCCTTCCAGAATCTAGTCAAAATAAAAGAACTTGATTGTTCCAACAAAAACTATGCCTCAATATCAAAATCGAAGAATTTGATTGTTCAAGTGTTATAATCTATTGCTATCTAGAAGGTGCAGGATTCCCACTAGGAGCTTGGAAAATGTGAATAGGTATCCACCACTTTTTTTAACAGCTTGGACCATCTAGGAGCAATTACTGCTTAAGTCATTTGAATCTGTGACAACTCACTATTATTAGCTCTTCATGATCTACAGACTGCACAAAAACCTTAACATTGGAAGTGACAACTTTCTGATTGAAAGAATATAAAGAGGGAAGATGTTGGTATATGAGATGATTTAGGTGATTTAACAAAGGATTTAGAAGTATAAACTGAAAAAATGGTTTACAAATATTTCTCTTATCGTTTACAACTGAATTCTTGCATCCAAAAAGGAAGCTCCGTTGCAGCTGCAAAAAAAAGAAGAAATTATAGCATTCTATAGAGGAACATGAGTTCAACTGGATCAAGATGTTTTCCTTGATACAGTTTCCAAGGGCTGAGGATTAGGTGGAAACTAGCATTACTGTGGACCATCTGTAGTATCACTTTGATTTTGTGTGGAGGCTGTGTGATAGGAATAGAATCAGGCCATTACGGAAGGGAAGAAAAAGATGTTTAGGTAGATTCTTTTTATTCTTTCTTACTGTATTTCTTATCTCCTCTAAAGAGCGAAGTTTTTCTGCAGTAAGAATGTTAAAGTCAATCCTTTTGATAATGGCATTTAAGTTTATTTCAGTAAAACTTACTTTCTTATTTTTTGATTCAAAAAAATTTGACAAAAGTTATTTGAATGCTTCTTGCAGTAATGTTCATGGGAACGCTAGTTTATGGCATAAGATACACGATTCCAGAATATGTATGCTCTCTACTTGTTGCTGGTGGTGTTTCACTATTTGCACTCTCAAAGGTAACATTTTATTGTAATATCTAAGATACAATGTCTAACTTTTCTTCTTTTCCCTTTTTTCTCTGACATGTTGTAATTATTCAAGGAAAAACCAAGGTCCTTTCTGTGAACTACCCCTAACTTTTTCTCTTGTACTTGACTTGATTACAGACTAGCTCGAAAACCATTAGTAAATTGGCACATCCAAATGCTCCACTTGGGTATGGGCTGTGCTTTCTGAACCTCACCTTTGATGGTTTCACCAATGCTACTCAGGATTCAATTTCAGCAAGGTAGTTTTCCTGTTAACCTATGATTTTTGTGTGTCATTTCCTGATGTTCTTATGAAGAATTCTTTGTTTGTGTTTTATATGCTGTAGCTTTTCTTATCACATACTGAATAGTGCAAATTAGTGTTCTCTTACTTCATGATTTTTTGCTAATGGTGGGAAAAATATTATACATCGTGGAATTGACTGTTGTTCAGTAGGTCTGTATTTTCTCATCTCAAGTTGAGACCCCTGTGGTGAAAGCATCCATATTGGAACTAAACTTCTATCTATCTACATACCGGAGAACCTTAGCGTGTCTTCTCAAATGTACCATCTAATCCACTCTCAACCTGGATTGAAGAGTATTTTGGGGATAATGGACGTATTAATGGAGTGAACAAATACTCTTTTTTTTATAAGTCCATTCTTCCAAATACTTAATGCAAGATGCTGTTTGCTACCAATTGTAATGTCCTAAATTTGCTGATAATCTTTAAAGATGAATAGGGTAAAAGGTGATATGTACAAAAAGTGATCAAGCTGATGAAAGAAAAGTGGCTTATCCAAAAAAACTGCTGTAGAGCTGAGGTTTAGGCTCTTAAGTTCTCTCACTTTTCTCCACCTGCATAAACTGGAACTTAATTCTACCTCGTGGACACTATTATCAATGGGAGTAGAAGGAAGTGCAAACGTAATAGGGTGTGAGAAAGGTATGGCAGTATATGGGAGCACAAAGGTAATAAAGGGTAGGGGTACAGCTTTTAAAGATTTGGGCAGGAGGGATTATCCAAAGATAGGTTATAGATTTTAGCTTTATAATTCCATTGAAACAAATATTTCATGAAATCCCACTAGACAAATTCAGACTAACTACGTGATTGGGTGATCTACCTCTTATCAGGTTGTTGAGGATCTATATCTTCACTGTCGGGCCATAATGTTGAATGTGCTGTAGGATATATCAAATGTCATTGTTTAAAATTACTTTAAAAAAATAAAATTATTTAAGGAGTTTCCTCTGACCTTCAGAAATCATTCTTGTGGATGAAAAATTCAGTTTTTCACTTGTATTCAACAACTAAGTACTCCTATTTTTTTCTCAGGTATCCTAAGACATCTGCATGGGATATTATGTTTGGAATGAATTTATGGGGTACCATTTACAATATGATGTTCATGTTTGGCTGGCCAACTGCCAGCGGTTATGAGGCAGTTCAGTTCTGTAAGGAGCATCCAGAGGCAGCATGGGACATTCTTCTTTACTGTCTGTGCGGCGCTGTGGGACAGAACTTCATTTTCCTAACCATTAGTCGATTTGGTTCTCTGACCAACACAACCATCACTACAACTCGCAAGTTTGTGAGCATAGTTGTATCTTCTGTGTTAAGTGGCAATCCACTGTCAGAAAAGCAATGGACAAGCGTCGGCATGGTGTTCTCCGGATTGTCTTACCAGATTTACTTGAAGTGGAGGAAGTTGCAGAGGATGACAAAGAAGAGGAAGCCCATGTAAATGTTACTATAATCTTTTTATCTGACGATACAGTTCTGTACTATTTAGTCATTTTTCTCCTGTTGTATTTCCAGCATCCCAGGAGGGACAACACTTCCATCATTGGACAAGATAATCAAATAGAATTACTAGCACATTTGTAGAATGTTAGCCCATTTTTGTAGTTGTTTTATATTAAACAATGTTTCAGACCATAAACAGCTCAGAACCTATAGCATTACTGATGTTTTATAAAACGTATAAGAACTCTCTTGTCAATATTTTTGATAATCGTTCAGGTACTAGTCTCAACCTTTCGGGAATAGCCTCTCTACCTCTATGGGGTAATGGTAAGGTATGCGTACATTCTACTCTCTCCAGATCCCAGTGGGATTTTACTGCGTATGGTGTTGTTGTTCAGGTATCAATCTGTAAGTACAATGTTTGTTCTGTATAATTCTTGGCTATGTCCAAAATGGGACATTGTAGATCCAACAGCACACCTTATTCCAACTGAAAAAGTAATTCAACATATTAAAGTTCCTTACTTTTCTTGGTTCATGGTTGGTGCATCATGACCACATCCAATTACTATTATGTCCCTCCACTGTTAGCAAAAAAAATAATTGATACTGGTTATTGTAAGGTCATTCTAGTCTTTTCCGCACTGCCAGTAGAATTCACACTTTAATTTGTACAGGTTCCCTCCCCTTTTACCACTGCCTTTTTGCTTTAAGTAATGATCACAGTAGCCCACCACTACCACCAACTGCTGACCAATTTAAATAAGCAACAGATGTCTCAGACCCCTCCTTCCCCACAAGATTCCACCCCCTTTTACAAATCTCAGATACAGAGACAGCAGCAGCAGCAGCAGCAGCAGCAGCAGCAGCAGAAGGAATGGAAGAATTCTCTTACTTATAAAGCCAGAGAAAGCAACAGCCTTTTATCTTTACGCGTAAGAACTCGTACCTCTTTCATATTCTGTGCTTATAACAAGTTTATGTGTAAAGATATAGCTGTTCATTTGCAGTCAGCATTACCTGTAACAGTATCAGACAAGTAGAGCAGAGACGACCAATGTACGCACACACGAACCATATTGCATTCTCAAATCAAATAAAGTATGCTTTACATTACATGTAGATCAGGCAAAGAGAAAAGCTCTGAACAGCCTAGAGACTTATTATATAACATCTACACACAAAATATATGAAAAGAAACTTAGGTAGGAGGCCAATTCTGACTTGTTGATCCTCCTACCTCTCCCTATGATTTCTTTTCTCTTTTTTTCTGTCTTATCAATATTCTCTATGAACTTTGGCGAGGTGCCAATTTGTAAGTACAATGTTTGTTCTGTACAACTGGCTAATTAAAAGCCGAAAACTTATGGAACATCAAATACCCCCATTTGAGTTCCATAACAACACACCAAAGAATGAGAAACAATTAAAAAAACACACTAGATACTGGTGAGTATTAGGTTGGAAACTCCAAAAAAGGATGCAGATCATCTGTCAGATCTCCAGAGAAAAAGCTAGAATGCCTCCGTTGCATTCTAGTGTGCAGACCAGATCTTCCAAGGCCTCTTGAAAAAAACATAGGTCATAGAGACTGCAATCCAAACAAAAAGAACTCCAAAAATTGAGTAGACTACATATAAGAACTGTTGATCAAAGTTATGGTGATACTGCTCCCCGCAGAATCGTTGTAAGGTTTGATCAGTAAAGTTGGTTATAGACTGTTGAGGAGGGCTCGTTTGCACGATGGAGGTTGTGAAAGATTTGTGCCTGGATGCATGGATGTGGACTCCACTCCAAGTGTTTTCCATAGGAACTGCCTCTCCTGAAAAAACAGTTAAGAAAAAGTTAATCTCAGTCTTGCTTCACACTATACATGAAATAGTTTAACGTCAAAGAGAAACCACATGAAATTATGAATCACAATTTATATGAAATAGACAAGTCAATGTAAAAAACATGATCACTAAACCAAGCTTCAAATAGTTTCTGGATTTCCAAAAAATCAGGAGAGAATGTGACCTTAATCCAATGGATAAAAGTTATCTTCGGACTTGTGTTCTAAATATATGACGAAGAAATTAAATCTTATAGGGGTTAAAATCTTTGAAAAGTCCGAGCATCATAGATTGCTTTAGCAACTGTGGGCAACAATTAGTATATGTAACAGTTGTAAATCAATACATAAAAGACAATCAGTAACCTCCAAAACCTGATTTCCTTTATTTCGGCCTTTTAGTACATAACACAAGCAGGAATTGACATATATCTAAGAAGTTGCCTTCTGGCAAAGATCTGGGAGGCCAGTAAATCAGATAATTGCATTATGTCGAAATACCGGTACAACTTCACTTTACTCAAAGATTTTGGGGGTTGCCTGTCATATATACATATTAAGTCCTTTTCCTTCTTCGTTTTTAGTGCTCAATATATTAGAGCTGACAACAGATGCATAGTTCTTTGCTGACAGCACTAATATACGATAACATATTTATAAGTTATTCATTTCTTTTTTATAGAGAAGGAAACATGGAACAAAGCACTCTAGAAAAAAAATTGTGTTAAGGAGACACTAAAAGGAAAGAACAAAAACAAAAGAAAACAACACACTTTCTCTTGAACTTTTTGATATCGACTGAGGTAAAACTCTTGTTTTCAGTTGAATCAATTTGTCTATAGTTCACTATGGTAAATACTTGGTTGGAATATATTCACACTTGTTGACCTCAAAAGCCTAATTATGCTACTTTCTTAGTGCAAAAGGCAGGTAAGCACAGTTTCAATAAGAAACATTGCAGAACTGATAAAATCAGTAGCAACGTCTGTTGCTGCTCCAATCCCCTGTAAAATCTCTCCTAATATCTCAATTAAGAAAATGGTATCAGTTCTTTTGATGGACTTCGCATGCACAAAAAGTCCAATTCGATCCATTAGTTCAATGCATTTTTTAGTGAAGCTGCTTTTGATATACATTTTTTTTACCTTAATTCAGTTTAATATTACAAGGCATAGAATGCTTACACTTTCTGAAAACTTTGGAGTGGGAATTTCTGCAGCTAAAGATCTGAACAGTGGAGTAACTTGAAGAGGAGAACTGAAATCTGTATTCAGAAATTCACATTCAGCTGTAGCTGGTCCATTATTCACTTTTTCTTCATCACAAACTGGCAAAGTATCTGTGATAATACAATCACCACTAGTATCAGTCTAAAGCAACTCCTATGGATGTAGAACTAAAAGAAACATCGTTGAAGTCTTTCCCCCAAATTATGAGTGTACCTCGAGTGGTTGATATATGGCAGGAGGTTCCATTTTCTAATTCATGAAGCCCAGCTTGATCACTCATCTGAGAAGTTCGTAATTCAGATTCAATATCCTGATGCTGTGCACACACCTCAGCTTGACCTTCTTCTGTTTTATCAGCCAGTGCATGGCATAGCAGAGTTGATCCCGTACTATACTCAGAGCTGCCAGCAGAATCTTCAGATAAAGCAGGTTGCCTGCACATCGACATTTTAGACACAGTGGCATGGGATAAGCTGGGTATCATTAAAACTGAACTTGTGTGGTCAATACCTCCAAGATGGTCGACTGCCTTCATTACTGCTTCTTGAATCTGCTATCAGGTTCTTATAATCATCAGGTTCAAAATTCATCTCAGGGAGCTGGAACTTGAGTGTATCACCATCCTTTGTATGTTGAAGAAAATCTTGGAGTATCTGCACAAATTCACACTTCTCCATTAGAGTTTCTGCACATTCGGTGCAGACTAGTTTCTTGAACTATGAAACACAAGAAACGAAGCAGGACAATTGAAGAAACTTAGCATTCGCAGCTCAAGCAGTCTTCATCTTTCTTATGTTGTCAATGACTTAAATAATGGATCTTCCTTTTTTTGCCAAAGGAATGAATCATTAAACAAGAGTAGACGGTTCATTAGTTGTCCTGATTGAGTTAATCAGGTCATGTAGAAACAAGGTTCAAGTCATGAGACACTACTTCTAACAACTGCTTACCTAGAAATGAACTAAATAGTTTTAAAGCAATTATTCTGAACGTCATGGACTAGAATAGTGAGAAACACAGCTTTAGACTCACCTTCCAAGCACTTTCAAGGCTTTGATCTGTATTTTCTGTATTGACTTTCATTGCCAGTGAGCTTAGCAGCTCTGCTTGTTGCATCAAAGCCTGTTTCTTTGGATCATCTTGTTTAAGGAATGTTCCTTGAGTTTTGTTGTCACTAGCTCCTTAAAAATCCAAAAATAGTGATCAGGCAGTTCCTTTTACTAGACAACGATTTACTGTTCTTACTTTTCAAGATTATTTACCATTTTCAGTTGTCGTCTGATGAGATACCAAACCTTCCCCAGCGTTATGCAAGTTTTGAGCTAGTACTGCAAATTGATGTCTTAGTAATGGATGTGCAGTTGTTCCACAATCACCATCAGATTTTTCTCTGCTGTTACCAATTTGAAGTACATCTGAAATGTCGCTCCGCCTACATCAAAACAATATATAGTGTTATATTGGAAACTCCATTTCTTTAAACCATAGTTAAATCTTGCTGTATTCATTTTTACCTCAGCTTTTTAATAGGAGCAGCAGCTTCAGCTATGTTGTCAACATTGATACCATCTGGAAATATAACCCTCTTGTTATTCAGGTTAATGAATGAATTGCTGTTTTCTTTAGCCAAAGCTTCATGCTTTGCTCTCTTTTTGCACAGTGTAGTGAACCGATTCTTCACAGCATTATCCGTCCTGCAGTTTTTCGAAATATCAGCTGATAACTTCAATCTGTCATAACAAAATACTGAAAAGCAAAACAAAAAGCTAATTACCTGCCTGAGACCACCTTGGCAATTTCAGTCCATCTATTACCAAAAATCTTTTGAGCCTACAAACATTATATTTTCTTAATCAGATTTCAATCACAACATTATTTCTCGTTAGAACATAAACGGCCTGAAACTGAAAATAGCAACAATCTTTACATGTTCGATATCGTCTACTAACATCAACCAAACTTAAGCCCAAAATGCTTAAAACAAGTGACAGTGATGGGGAGAGATAAAAAGAAGAAGCAATCAAGAAAGCATCATTTCACCTCACATAAAAGCATATCTTCTTCAGGTGACCACCCTCCT